CTGTACTAGCAAGCACACACAAGAGTCAGGTCTGCGATTACTTTGGATGAGGTTTCTGTGGGGATCCCCCAACTGAACAGCTGGACTAAGTACTCCAATCTATTGTGCCACCACACAATGTCCCTTTCTCTTTTTTACAGCTTCTTTACCTGTATTCTGTTGTCTTCAGAGTTTCCACAATTTGCTGCAGGCTTGACTTCCAGTCCCAATTGTTTCCTTCCTCTAAGCTATGATGAAAAGTGTAATAGTCAAAGTACTGTGTTTAGATACACTCTGCTAAGTGTGAAGCTGATTAAAGCAATTCCCATTAACTTGTGAGTGAAATTTATCCTTCTTAAAAGGTATATTTGCATTTTAATAGCAGTTCTTTAACACAAATTAATCTCTAATTGGTAGAATGGGTGAGTTACTTTATTGTGGAAGGAAGAAGACAAAAACTATCCCTGAGGATCAGCACATTGGGTCAATTGGAGAATCCTCCAACTCCAAGTGCCAGCATCCCATATGGTACAGGTTCACATCTGTGGGTGCTCCACTTCCAATCCAGCTCCTTGCTTATGCCCTGGAAAAACAGTAGAGGATGGCCCAAGTTCTTGGGACCCTGCACTCACCTGGAAGAGGTCCTGGCTCCTGGCTTTGGATTGGCTCAGCTTCAACCATTGTGACCATTTGAGAACTGAGTCAATGGATGAAAGATCTTTCTCTCTGTCTCTCCTTCTCTCTGTAAATCTGCTTTTCCAATAAAAATAGATACATTAAAAAAAAAAAAAAGAATAGTACATAATAATAGGGGTGGGAAGAGTCCAGAATAAGGGGAAAGCGGGTGAGATCGTTGTTTCCAAAATTTATTTTCCTTCTTTCTGTATCTGAGGGAAGGAGGGAGAAAGGAGAGGAAGTCACACCCAGCTTCCCAACTGCCTCAGTCCCTGGCGATGGGGAACGGCTACCTGATGTTATCCCAGGGTCTCAGGTGTGGAGAATGTTCCAAGTGGTTCCGATAGTTCTGAAATGCTGTTGATCTTGCAGATGCAAGGATGAGGAAATCCTTCCAAGGTCCATGGGCTGACACAGCACAGAGAGAGAATTTTCCATCCATTGGTTCACCCCTCAAATGACAGCAATGGCAGGTCTGAAGTCAGGAGCCAGGAGCTTCCTTTGGGTTTCTCACGTGGCTGCAAGCAGTTGGGTCATTGTCTGCTGTTTCCTCAGGTCATTAGCAGGGAGCTGGTTGGGCAGTGGAGGATGCTGGCAATGCAGGCAATGGCTTCACTTGCTATAGCACGTGTAACATCAACATTTTAACCAGACCAGTAGGTAATTCCTTTGAACACTGAAGTGCATGTAATGCTATTTTTTTTTTTTTGAAGCAGTGTACACCTGCTTTTCCAGTTGAATTATTTTTTACCTGCCAGACACCATTCTATGTGACTTAGGTTGTCTTTTACCAAAGAAAACTTTTGCTTCCTGATGAAGGATTGTCTGGGGACATTTGCCTGTTCTCTGGAACACGAATCTTACTCTTTTGTACTATAATTGCCTTTTGATGTTTTTTTCGCTTCCCTAAAATCAAAGTTTTCTGGTTTTGGGCTTCCTGGTTGTAATTAGAGTTAGTCTGAAAACTTTTAAAAGATAGCAATTCCGGGGTCCTTGTCCCGGAAATTGTTGTTTTAATTTGGCTTGGTTAAGGCATCACCACTGGAATGTTTTTAAAAAAGTATCCCTGATGATTATAACTTGGAGCCAAATTTAGAATCATTATGCTAGGCATTTAGGTTCTGTAAGGATGGAAACTATCTCATTCCTGCTGCACCTGCAGAGGTCGCCTGAGCCAGGTGTACACACCACCCTAGGAAAGGATGACTCTCCTGGTCCCTCACGGTTACGGACTTGGGTGTGCCTTGCCTTCCTACCTTTCACCTTCACCCTTTCATGTGTCCACAGCTGGCCAGTCTATTTATCTGCTCCAAACAAAGAGCTGTTTTGTGGCTGTTTTCAGCTATAGCAAAGCATGTTTACATAATTGGATGCTAATGAGCACATTGTTTGCAAACACGGATTCCCTTTAGCAGCTCCCCCAAAGAAAAACCACTCATTCTTTGCTCATAAAACCTCCTATGTCCTGAGAATTCCAGTGAAGAGTTGATGAGATCAAGAGAATTTGACTGAGATGGTTTAATAAAAAATTAACCATATCTTGATTGGAGGCTAAAAATATATTTAGAGGAAAATTCCTTAAGTCTATATACTCTTAAAATCATCTCTTTTAAAAAAAACTTAATAGCTTATATTTTGTATGGTACTTTATGTATTGTATTTCTATATTTGGTTTTCATTAAATATCTTTTACCAGAGAGCAGTTGTGTATAATACTTTAGAAAAGAATTCATGGGCTTCTTTTTGTCCATAAGGAGTTTACAGTCTATGGAAAGATGAAAAAAAATTCCTAGACATGGACACTCAAATAGGCCTCATAAAAAAAAAAAAAAAAGAGACAGCCCAAAGCATACAAAGATAGCAACAAGGAACAACAGCATACAACTGGGGGGTGAAAAATATCAAAACTCTCAAAATTCACCCAAGCCAGAAACTGTTCTTTATTTGTTATTATAGAGGTCTTGGGAGGCAGACAAAAGGCACTCTCTGTGGTTGTCGAATTTTCAAAGGACAGTTGTCTTTTCAAAGATTCCTATGTTCTGTTCAAGAGTTTTGCTTCCTGAGTCTGCCATGACAGAGCTTCAGTTGGGCTTGTCAGGACCCAGAGGGCTGTGGGGAGGTTAGGAAAGCCCCTTGGGAGCCACAGGCCAGCCACTAACTAACCCCATCTCTCCATCCCCAAAAAAACTAGGCTCAAAAACCTTGACAGGGGTGAGTTTTCAGTCATCCAAACTTTTTGTCATACTCAAAATAGAACAAGCATGTAGGTGCCGGGGGAAGTCCTAATGACAGACACATCAATTCACAGGATTTCTAGAGCATTCCTCTCCCCCTGTTGCTTTCTCTCAGTAGAAACGAATCAGGAAGATTAATCCCCCATTCTTTCTGTAATTTGTAATTAACATCATCCATCTTGGGCAGGATGGGGAAACGTTTGTCTGCCAAGGGTTATTTGGAAATTTATGACATCACTTACAAACCATATAAAAATTTCAATTTAAAATTAGTCTGGGGCGATTCTGGTTCATGTCCTGGCTATTCCACTTTCAATTCAGGTCCCTGCTACTGTGCTGGGAAACCAGAAGTGCTTGGCCTAAGTGCTTGGGTCTCTGCTACTTGCATGGAAGAGCTGGGTGAAGCTCCTGGCTTTGGCCATTGTAACTATCTGGAGAATGAGCCAGAAGATGGTATGTTAGCCGGGCTGGCTGGAAACTGGAGCAGCTGGGACTCGAACTGGTGATTTGGGGGTGCTGTAGCAGCAGATGGCAACTTAATCCATCATGCTGGCCCCATATTGGGAGATCCTTAAGCATTGTAGTTGTCTTAGTCCAATATTTCAGAGATAGCTTGGTCTATAGGTATTAAAAAGAGATTTAATTAAAAATTTATTAAAAGAGATTTAAGATATCTTTATAACATTAAAGTTTAAGTGTATGCTTCAAATGAATATGACAAGTTGAATGTCTTGTCATCCTCATGTTATTTTGGTGTTAAGCAAAGAAAGAGTTCTGTCCAAGATCTGTTTTATAAATGATTCTGTGATAGGACATTTAAATACACTAGTACTATTGAGATTTGAAAATTGGTATCCTAGCTAGAATCGCATATGTACTAATTCAATCTAATAGAATAACTATTCAAACAAGGAAAGCAGTAAGCTTCGCTGAGGATGTTACACAGCTAATAATTTTTAATTTTTATATTGCTGGTTGGAATATAACATAATGTAAACTCAAAAGTTTGATAGTTTCTCAAAGAGTTTAATGTAGTAGCCAAGCAATTCAGTGTGCATCAATATGTGAATTAATTTTTAAAATGTGGTATAAACATAAAATGGAGTATAATTCAGCCAAGAAAAGGCATGAAATTGTGATACATATTACAAATTGGATGAAACTTTTTAAAGAATGTATTTGTTTTTATTTTTATTTGAAAGGTAGAGTTACAGAGAAATGGCGGTTTACTCTCTAATGATCTCAGTGGCTAGAACTAAGCTGATCAGATGCCAGGAGCTTCTTCTGGGTCTAGAAGAAGCAATGGGTGCAATGACTCAAGTACTTGAGCCATCCTTTACTGTTTTCCCAGCCCATTAACAAGGAGCTGGATAAGAAGTGAAGCAGTTGGAATATGAATCCTGGTATCCATATGAGATGTCAAGGTGGAAGCTTAGCCTAGTAGATCATGGTGCTGGTCCATGAATGCAATTTTTTAAAACAACTTTTAAAAGTTGTTTATTTATTTTTTAAAGATTTATTTGTTTTTATTGCAAGGTCAGATATATGGAGAGAAGGAGAGACAGAGAGAAAGATCTTCCATCTGATGGTTCACTCCCTAAGTGACTGCAACAGCCGGTGCTGAAGCCCAGGAGCCAGGAGCTCTTCCAGGTCTCCCATGCAAGTGCAAGGTCCCAAGGATTTGGGGCATCCTCGACTGCCTTCCCAGACCACAAGCAGGGAGCTGGATAGGAAACGGGGCTACCGGGATTAGAACTGGGATTAGAACCATGTGGGATCCTGGCGTGTTCAAGGCAAGGAGTTTAGCCGCCAGGCCATCGCGCAGGGCCCTGTTTATTTATTTTCTAGGATTGATTTTGTATGATTTTGCTTATATGAAATATTTACAAAGGCAATTTAATAGACACAAAGTAAATTAGAATAATGTGTCTTGTTGAGAGAAGAAATGGGAAATCATTGCTTACTGGCTACAGTTTCTTTTTGGAACATTGAAAAATTTTAAAATAGCATTAAATATATTAAATTGCACTGAAACATACATTAAGATTGGTAAATTTTATCTTACATATACTTTATCATAATAAAAAATCACACAGTCACATTTGTGGTATGACCTATTGTTTTCTCTCCGCTGTTTTAATATCCACAGATATAACTCTAGTACAGTATTGATGTTTCTCTAATATAGGGTACACAGTATATAATAGCCAAGGACATGTATCTGGTGGTGTAACTGACAGTCTAGGTTTGCTGGAGAATTCGGAATTTAAATTTTGTCTCCTGAGTGTAGGTTTTGTGTTCTTTCTGCAGAAGTATCCTCAGTGAATGTTGACTCAAACAGAGTAAGAATCGATTTCTTAAAAACATTTTTGAAGTTCTCCCCACTAAATAGATAAAGGATGGGAGAAAAGACAGCATTGAAAGAAGTGGTCACCACTGTAAGAGTCAGAGTCAACTCTGTAAGTGGTGGCTGTTGCTTGGTGAGAATTAAGCCCTGGTGTACATGGTAAGGCATCCAACACATAAAGAAAGAGATAACAGCAGTCATCATGACTTTGAAGGGTTTGCTGGATTTAAAGAGGCCCCTCTCTTTCATCTTGCAAGCTACTCTTTGGTAACAAAAGATGATGAAGAAGAAAGGCAGAAGGAAGGCCAGTATGAAGCGGCTGATGAAACAGGCGGCATGGATCCTTTGCCTTAATGTCTGCAGCTCTCTGCTTTCCCAGTCAGTAGACACAGCGTAGTTATTTCTGCAGATCACTTTTCCTTGCTGGTCATGATATGTCTCCCTGAAAACCAAATAGGGCACACTGGAGGCCACAGCAGAGATCCATACAGCCAGGATGATGCCGAAAGCCCAGCGAGAGGTTCGGTGCTGTTGGCACCACACTGGGTGAAGTGTGAGAAGATAACGGTCAAGACTGATGGCTGAGAGGAACAGCACCGAAGCGAACATCCCCACAGTCAAAGTGCTGTTGCAGATCTTACACAAGGCATTTCCGAAGATCCAGTGATAGTCCTGAAGAAAGGACGTGGCTATAAATGGCAAAATCAATGTTGAAATAAAATATGAGAGAATCAGATGAAAAAATAAGAGTGTGTTGACCGATTTTTTCATTTTGAATTTTAGCACCCACAGATAGAGGCCATTGGTGATGGCACCAATTATAAATGTCATGAATAAAGGAAGGACAATGACAACTTTAATGGCAGGAACTGTGAAGTGAGTGCTGTTTCTTACTACTGCAGAGTCATCAACCAAGTAATCTGTAGTGTTGATCAGATCCATAGTTTCCTGTGGAAAAAAAGAAAACAATGAAAATAACAATAATAAAAAAATCAAAAAGCAAAAACCTAAAATGATTGCTTTGCATGGCAATAATCTGAATGATAACATTTTTTAAAAAAGATTTATTTATTTTTATTGGAAAGTCAGATATGCAGTGAGTAGCAGAGACAGAGAGGAAGATTATCTGTTTGCTGATTCACTCCCCAAGTGGCTGCAATAGCTGAAGCTGAGCTGATTTGAAGCCAGGACCCTGAACTTCTTCTGGGTCTCTCACGTGGGTGCAAGGTCCCAAGGCTTTGGGCCATCCTCTATTGCTTCACCAGGCCACAAGCAGGAAGCTGGATGGGAAGTGGAGTCACCGCCAGGATTAGAACTGTCTCCCATATGGGATCCTGGTGCATGCAAGGTGAAGACTTTAGCCATTAGGCTAGCATGGCAGGCCCCTAAATGACAACATTCTGAAAGTGGCAAACATGATCTTCCTACAAGAATACCAATCAAATATTTTCATAAGGTCTATACTTTGATGTTGCATGAGAAGTTAAGATCATATTAATTTGAACATCAGAAAGAGCAATGTTACAGATGAAATGAAATGCAAGTGAAAGAAAAAGGAACATTTTGACAAGTATTAACAAATGCATTTAGGTACGTAGAAATCTACTTGAATGTTTAACAGAAGTTTAATCTCTCCTGGGCAGGTCTTAAATATGGCAATGTAAGATTAGTTGTACTTGATTAAGACACAGGGCAATGTTATTAATGAAATGAACCAAAATAAAGGAAAAAAAAAAAAGAACCAAAAAACCAGCAGCTGTTGGAAATCATGGACTACTAAATTAGATTTCCTTTATATGCTAGCTATATTAATAAGCATTACTACTTAGTATTCTAGTACTAGACATGTGGTAGAAAGCAGCCACATTCATCTAGGAATCCTAGGGCACTATGAGCTTGTGAGGTGCTTTCAGAACCACCAACAAGGAGAAATCAGTGCTCTGCAGGATTTTACTGATAGTTTTTTTTTAATGTGGTAAATGAAGGAGAGAAAAGTTAAAGAGCTCACATTTACCCAGCATTTTTCATGTGCTAGGAGATGGCCATAAGAACAATTCTTCCCTCAAAAAAAATATAATGGAAATCTTTAAATAGAGCAGAAAGTGGGGCATTCAAATGGTCAACATGTCTTATCCATCAACACTTCCCACCATGCCTCCATTGCATCGCCTCAGAACCCCTGCCATTCTTTCATACTACTTCGATGTTCCTCTGCAGTGTTTTGATGGTACTTTATGAATCAGAGTATTTGATACCCTAAAAAAACCCAATTTGTTGGAGCTAATGGTTCTTAAACTATGAAAAATATAAGCCTGAGAATATTCTGGAAAATACCTATTATATTAGTTATATAAGCAAATCAATTTTCAATAAGTTGGATAGAGAAGTGGAAATTGCTAATGATTTTTTTCCCTCACTGGACAAAACGTTCTACAACTACAGAGAGAATAAAATAGTTTTTAAAAACAGTGTGTTTGGCCAGTGATTAAGATGAAGGTTATGATACCTGAGTCCCATCCATGGGAATTTCCAGGGATTTTCACTAATTTGATTTCACGTCTTACTCCAGCTTCCTAAGTGTCCATGGCTGAAGTGATTGGGCTCCTGTCATATATATGGGAAACCTAGATTGTTTCTGGCTTCCTGTTACAGGCATTTGGAGAGTGAATCCACAGATGGGGAATCTCCTTTTTGCCATCACTCTTAAATGAATAACAAATACATAATTTAAAAATTCCTGCAACTGCCGTTAGCTAATTTTGCCTTCTAAAGAACTTGAATCACCTTTCTCTAAGGTAGAAAAATGGTCTTCAGAAAACACCTTAGTAGTCTACTCTGGGAAGAAATGTGGAATCTGAAGGGAATGGAATCACTAGGGAATGGCAAGTGAAAGTGAGAAGTTGAGAAAAAGGGTTTGCGTGCAGGTCTTGGGTTTCGAGGAAGAGGGAGAAGTGAGTATGGCCTTGAGAGAGGAGATGTGGAAAATCCAGGAGGAAGGTAGGAGGCCTCAGGGGGAGAGAGGGTCAATCAGATATTAAAAAGCAGAAAAGACTCAGGGCATTGAAACATAGGAAAGCCCAATTTGGAATTTTAATTCCTTTGCTCTGCCTTGGTGTAGCATCATCTCCTTCCTGTCTTGTGTTGGAACTGGTTCTAGAGAAGCAGAGAAAAAGACTTTGTGCTCCTATTTAGAATTGGAAAGGAGAGAAATGATTAGCAGCAGGAGTTGAGCTGTGAATGAGATGATGAATGTGGTGAAAACTGGATAGATATGGGGGCTTGAGTGGAAAAGGAGAAACCAAATCCCGAGGAGAAGTTTCAGTGCTGTGTGTATACCTGTGTGTGCATGTCGGTGAATACGTGCCTATGGTCTTTGTATGCATCTTGTGGTTTATTGATGGGTCTCTGTGGTGAGTGTTTTCATCCATGGAATAGGTGCAGGGAGTTGAATGTGTGGTCTGTGTCTCATTGTCAGTGGTGTATTTGTGTGATCTCTGTGTGTGTGTGGTATGTGGAGTCTGTGGTCTTTGTGTGCTTATCTGTGGAATGTGAGTAGGTGTGATATTTGTGTGTCTGTGCTTTCTGTGTGTGTGTGGTCTCATTTGGTAAGTGCATATGAGAAAACTTAGCTATAAGAAAGGTTTTAATTAAAAACATTCTGTGACAAAGCTCTGGACAGGCATCTGAAACTAACCTAAGACTTGGACAGAATCCAAGTAAAACTTCTCTGAATATCATTAAGTTTCCTAGGAATTTTGATTTATTACACATATTCAGGAGAATCTTTCTTCCTTAATCCTCTTTTAAAACATGTTTAAAGTGCTTGAATATGAGTTAATGTTCAGGTGCTGGCACCCACAGTCCTGGGTTTACTTGCTATCTTTGACATTTACCTCTTCAAGCCTTTCCCAATTCTAAAACCCTGTGTTTTTATGAGGTCTAAATGAGATAATGTGCATTTCACGGCACACAGTGTTCAATTTTGTTTGGTCTATTGTTTTGTTCAACTTGTCTTAATAAGGCCAACAAGGGGCTCCTTTTGCTTTCATTACCACGGCTTGCTTTTCTTTCTTCCCCAAAGCATCTATACTGAATCTTAGAATATTTCCAGGGATTTTCAGAACAATTTAAATGTTCTGAAATCTATTTGGGCAGAACTCTGAAATTTACAGCTTCTTTGTGGCTCTGATGGTAAATGTCCCACTGGCATATGAGGGTGACAGGAGACTCCAATTCCTCAGTGGAGACACTGAGGGACTTGGAACATGGAAACTTCAGGAAGCTGATCTGATGCAAACCTTGTCTCTTCATATGATGAGAGCATTAAAGTAAACCAGCTGGTCCGTGGACTCTTACCTTGGGGTAATGTTGTCACACCAGGAAGGTCTGGAGCAAGCCGAAGTGACTGTAAATCATCAATCTTCTTTGGACAGGGACAAAAATCACTGGCACTTGACCTTCATTTCTTGCTGAAGTTGTTTCCAACTCTGAACGTACTATTTAAATATCTTCCTGTTCCTTTTGGTTTCTTTTTGTGTGTAAAGTAATGTTTAAGGGGCGGAGGGAGAGATATGAATACTTCTTCAAATTATTTCCCTATTTGGAAAGGATAATTTAAATATTTTATAAACAAAGCCACTCAATTTATGGTTGATAAGCTGGTGTTAAAACGTCGGTCGTAAGCTATCTTCTTTTTTTCTTAAAAAAAAAAGATTTATTTATTTTTGGGAGTCGATGTAGGTCTGGGCAGAGGCACAGGTGTCTGAATCTCCCAGCCACGTGGCTGTGGCTGGGTGAATCTGTGTTAGGCCAGGCTACCTACTGGGGATCATAGCTCTGTCCACCACTGCCAGGCAGTGGACAAATCCTGAGCTCGTTCAGGCCTGAGGCCTGAGAATCTTCTTCACCCAAAGCAATCACACTGTGGGCAGATCTTGGGCGGCTCTCAGCAAACTCAGGATCCTGGCTCTGCCCACCACTGCCAAGTTGGTGTGCGGAGTCCAGGTAAGTTTTGGCGCGGTGGTGCAGTGGTTGAGGTCCTCGCCTTGCACGCCCAGGATCCCATATGGGTGCCGGTTCTAATCCCGGCAGCCCCGCTTCCCTTCCAGCTCTCTGCCTGTGGCCCAGGAAGGCAGGGAGCCTGCACCCACGTGGGAGACCCGGAAGAGGCTCCTGGCTTCGGATCAGCATAGCATCGACCGTTGCGCTCACTTGGGGAGTGAATCATCAGATGGAAGATCTTCCTCTCTGTCTCTCCTCTCTGTATATCTGCCTTTCGAATGAAAAAATAATAAAAATAAATCTTTAAAGGTAAGGAGCAACCAAAATCAGACCAGATTACAGTACCTGCTGGCATATATGTGGGTCAAGTCAGGGGGTGGGCCAGGCCACTGACAGATCTGAGAACCAGAATGGGTTGTGGAGGGGTTGAGTCAAGCCACATCATCAGCCAGTTCACACTTGAGTTGGGACTGGGGGCTGCTGAGGGAAGATGTGCCATGTCAGTCTGGGGAGGTGGGTGCCATTCCATGAGCCCCAGGGACTTAGGGGTCTTTGGGCCTGCCATGGATGTGGGTGCTAGATCCATGAACTCCAGAAGTCAGGGACCTGGAGGGGCCAGGTCACCCAAGCATGCCTGCATATGACAGCCAAGTCTGTGAGCTCTGGGGGTGGGGGTTAGGGGTCTGGTGGGTCCTGGGTCTCATGGCTCAGGGCCATGGGCCTTCCTGTGCAGTGGGTGCTGGCCCATGAGCCTTAGGGGTGGAGGATCTGGCTTGGCCCTGGGTCTCCTGGTCCAGGTCCTAGGGTCCACCTACGTGGTGGGTGTCAGGTCTGTGAGCCTCACGGGAGGGAGGGTTCATTGGATCCTGAGTCTCCTGGCCCAGGTCCTTGGGCCTGCCTATGTGGTGGGAACTAGATCAGTGAGCTCCAAGGTGGGGTCC